TCGTAGAGGCCGCGTGAAGGGCCTCCTTGATGTTATTAGTGATTCTAGTTGCAGCGGCCTCTACGTCGTCCGCTGTACTTATTGGCTGGTGTGCTGGAGGTCTCTGCTGCAGGTGTTGACAGTAGAGCCTCCAGTCGACACGTGTCTTAAACGCTCTGGGCGGCGTAGTCACCGCCTTCAGGCCAAGGGTTATCAGTAACGGGAGGTGCTGTGAAGGTAGGTCGTACAGCACTTCTACCACTATCGGATAGTTGACGTTCCTAGTGAGCACGATGTCTAATACATCCGGATGCCCTCCTTGGGTCAGTAGGAACGTGAGTCGGTTCCTCGGGACCTAGAACGTCGTATTGGTACTTTTCGGCGTCTTCGTATAGTTCACGACCCGGCGGGGGTGATCACTCTGGACCCCCACGCCGGGTGTTTGGCGTTCAGGTCCCCGGCGATGATAACAGGTCCATCGCCTTCCATCACTGTCCGGATGTCTGAGGAGCAGAATGGAGTCCCTGGTGGGCGGTATGCTGCATATATCCTTAGTTCCTCGCCCTCCGCCTCCATTCTAATACCGATTGAGCGCATTGTCTGGAAGGATGGTAATTCCAGCTCTTGATGGACGATGTCCCTCCTCACTAGAACCGCCGTCCCTCTATAGGCGGCCCCTTGAGAAGTGACCTCGTCCCTTCTGTAGATGTAGTAGTTTGGCAGCTTAATGCGCGTTTTTGGATTTAATATTGTTTCGCCCAGCAGTATAATGTGTATATCCTGTTGCTGGGCGACTGTGCGGAGTTCATGCAGCTTCTGCTGTATTCCGTCCGGTTCCAATAGAGGAGGCGCAGATTACGCTCCTCCATAGTGCCGGGCTAGGAGGTTTGCCAGCGCCTTCATTATCGCTGTCACTGGATCTGTCCCGGCTCTTATGTCAGCCAGGACTTGCGTGCCGACCTCGATGGCAATACCAACCAGACGTTGGATTGCATCTGCTGTTTCGAGGCCGGTGGTAGGTGTTCTCCTATAAGAAGGCGTTGGCAATTGTCTCGGGGGTTGGGGCTCCTGGATATGCTCTCTTTGCTTGTGGGTAGAGCGCGCTCTAGTGGTAGAGCGGGCTCTATGTTCAGATAGAGCCCTTTCTGGCACTCTACCCACGCTGGTTGTCTCCCTCGTAATCTGCGCCTTAGCGGCTACTGGCATGGTTGGTGTCGGGGTAGAGGGGACAGCCTGAGGAGGCTGCGACTTCTTCCTACTTCCCCCCCGCCTCCTCTTCTTGGAGGGTTGCCGTTCAGTGGCAGGATTGGCGGGGGGCTGTAGAGTCGCCCCGGTGGTTGCCCTGGTCGTTGTGGGTTCCACCGTTTCTTGGATAGTTGCGGGTGGGGGGGGGGGGCTGGTTGCCTGCCCTTCCCGGTGATGGTGGTCCACCCGTCCTGCTGAATTGTAACAGCTTTCGGGCGACTCTGAGGGGCCTTTTTGGGGGCCTCCGGGAGTAATCCCGGCAAGGTTATCCCCTGCCTCCTCGCAGTCCTCCTCAGGACTGGACAGCGGCGGTCATTTGCCGTGTGGTTTTTACCACAGTTGGCGCATTTCGGTTCCTCTTCCCTACCCCGAGGGCAAAGGCTTGCTATGTGCTCCCCGGCACAGCGCACGCATCTCACTGGCCTGAAGCAGTTGGCAGAGGCGTGCCCGAAGGCCTGGCATCGGTGGCATTGGGCTGGTCCAGCCTTTCTTTGCCAGGCCTCGATGACGACCCCTCTCATGTAGAGGAGCTCGTCGATGTTATATAATTCCTGGAGCTGCTCCAGGCTCAGGTGGTCCAGTTGGGCAAAGTAGACGCAGCCAGGTCTGCTTCTACGCGGTGGTATTGCCTTTACGTATTTTATGGGGAAGCCTTTTGCCCTTATGGCCTCCTCTATTGCTTGGGTGTCCGTGCCCATTGGTAGACCCCGGATGCCCACTTTAGTGGGCTTATCCTCCTCCGGGGTGTAACAATACCACGACAATGATGGTGTTTTCTTGGTTAACTCGACCATATACCACTGTACTGTGCGGAATTCGTTTGCACTTTGCGGTGTAAACCTAACGCCTTTCCCAAACGGACGGGCATTTATGGGGTGGCCCAACATATTGTTGAGCTCCTTGAAATGCCTCGTCCAGTCTGGTAGGCATTCGGCCACTATGGGTGGGTATCGGCCCTTCTCCTGGTCGGCAGGCTTCACTGTAGGCGCTGCCGCCGGTGGTGGTCGTGGTACTGCTGGTGCAGCTACCATATGGGCATAACTGGTAGATGGCCGTTGGCCATCGTCCTGTGGCAGCCCGGACGGATTAGTTGTTGCCACCGGCGATGATCGGCCGGCGGATGCAGCGAGGGTGGCATATGTGGTTGACCCCCAACTGAAGGATTCTTCGCCCCCCTGCTCATACTGTGCCGAATCATGGCTTCGTCGATCCGGTGATATGGTGCGGGGGGGAGTGGTGGAGAGGGTGACCTGGGTGGCGATCTCAGCACCTTCTTTGTGGTCACTTTTTGATGGTAATCTTCATCTTCCTCTGATGAGGCTGGTGCTTCATCGGAAGACGATTGGGGGCCAACCCGTTGCCTCTTCTCAAATAAAGAGGCTTCCGTTTCCGGAGGAGTATGTCGTCTCGCCGTTTTCTTTGCCCGCTGCTGCTGGGGCGACGGTTCCTGTCTGACCGTGTGCTCAGACACGGCCGGCGTGAGCGCGACGCCCGGTGCGGGCTCTTTCCACGGTGAGACGGGTTTGCGTTGGGGGATCTGTGAAAATGAGGACACAACCCTTGTGCGTTCCGGGTTCGACAGATCCCTCACAACCAGTGGTCGATCCAACACACCTTTTCGGTCCGGTGGTTTTCTAGATGGGGGGGAGGTTCCCCCTTTTTCTTATCGGACATAGTAATCAATCAACGGCCCTGTCTAAAATGAGATATACAAGATGGTAACTTTCCACACTTTTGGGCACTGCCTACCCCTTTTGCCAGCAAAAGGGTTGGGGGAAGTGCAACGGTGGCACTTTATGACGCGACTAGGCACAGGATGCTCGGAGCGCATAAAGTGCCAAGAATCACCTAGGGGCCGGTGACCTCGACGCCTCACGGAATCACGGGACTCGACGTTCGGCGGAGTATGTCGTACCGGCGGTTAATTGCAGCCACTGTATACTGCAAGTAACGCACACCTAGGAGATCCTTCACGTATCCGGCACCGCATGCCGCATACCGCAGCGTTGTACGTTACGATCAAGAGACCTACACCTACGCTCTTCCGTATCCGTAGCCGTATAATATTGCGCCACTGTCTGTGTTATTGTATACAACTTTTCCAAAACTTAAACAATACAATAAATAATAGAACTACGTACAGACTTTGCACTCCTTTGATGTTGACTGCTTGCGTCTTAATAGCCTAAATAATTATTATTAATTAGATAAATCGCCCACGCAAGCTAAAGAAAACTTTATCACTGCTCGCGAGAGTCCATATTACTTTCTATATTATCCTCTTCGTACGTCACTGCGAACTTTGCGTGGCTACTAAGGGCTGTCAATAAAGAGTAAAAAAATACATTGCGAAGGGGTAAGTAAGTTACTTAGGTAAAGTACCTATTCTGACTATGATCGACTGACTTATATTTTCGCTGCTATGTCAGTTCTGTGACACCCAACGTATGCAACTTGCAAAGCCATTCGTCGCGAATCGCGATGCTTGGCTCGGAAGAAATAATTACCTATGTAGTATAAACAACAAATAAACCCGAAATATAATTCCTCAATGATATAAGATCGTATTCTACTTAGTTAAAAATCTTGTTAAAAAGTTTTTATTTCAGTATTTTATGTTATTATAACTTAAAATATTTTAATTACAAAGGACAAGTATAGATATATAAATAGATACTTGGATAGTGAAGTAAATTTAAACCAAGTTTTGTAATAAAGTACATGGGTATTACTTCTGTAGTTAAATTATTACTTAATTTCTTTTTCGCTATAAGTAACTATCTAATAACAAAAATGAAATAAATTCGCCTTTCATTATCCTTCAGTTAGTTTAAAAAGTGATATATCTGAATCCTTTTGTTTGCTCATTAAGGCGACACCGCGAAAAAATGCACCTCCTTTCATCGAATAGTATAGGACAATGACACAATTAAAGAAAGTGGAATTTTGATATATGTAAATTCATGTTTTTATCTTGAATTTGGTTGTTCAAAAACACGATTGTATAATTTTGACTTGATCATAATTATTTGTGAAAACACCTCTAAAAATCACTATAGTTGAAATTGCAACGAAATTATTTAATCTATATGCTTGGGAATCACTCAAATATATTCATAACAACAATACATATTCATAATTTACTTGCTCATTATTTTGATTACTTAAATCAATAATTTTAAAAACATATTTTAAGATTCTGACAATTTCAAGTGCAAATGTCACGGGCGCTACACAATTTTAGACCTTATAACGGCGTTTTTTAAGTTTTTATATAAATTATGTATTCACTCGGATCAGTACGGCGATAGCCCGGAGCTACTTTTTCTTACGCATCCATCCACGCAACAATTATAGTAGGAATGACGTTTTGTCATTATAATTAATCAAATAGATAGGTAATATAAATACATATTATATTTAAATTACATACATAATATACAACTTTTGTCAACTATTTTATCCTACACTTAAATATACCAAAGACTAAACAAAAACTATTTCAACAAGTGTTTACAAAAACCTATTTACGCTAACAGCGTTAAAACACACATTCAATCGCCTAGAAATAGGTATTATCTATGGCCTAGAGCGCGCTAGCCCAGACTGCGTACCACAAAAGTCTCATTGTTTTCAAAAATTAATAATAATGAAAAAACTGGTAAAAAGACGCCGAAATAAAACTTATAGTCACTCCTCCAAAGTTTAGTAGAAAGAGACAGATAGTGCGCCATTTAATTGACAATTATGCTAAGACAGAAAAAAAGAAATCTTACAATTGCTGGGTCCAAGCGAAATTACGCGATGCAACGTCCAAGCATCAGATTCAGCCGTCCTTTGCGTGTAAATGCCTGGGAGGTAACCGGAGACGCCTGTGCAAGAACAATTTTAAAGTAAATTTTAACCGCCAGAAGTTTTCTACCTAATATTTTTTTAATACAAGTCAATTTTAATTTCTGTAACTAGTAGTGTCACTTTGCGGCCACTTAAAACTTTAATCACCTTTAGTCAGTACGAGTAAAAGCGCACGTCTTAACATAATTCGATAGAAAACAGGTTTCAAGTTATAACGGCTCACATTATAGAAATGGTGTGTGAGGGAGTTAAAAAGCGTGTGTTACCTGTAAGCCACGAAGTGCCGTGGACCCAACCGTCAGTCGAGCTGTCAAATTCTGACTTCTTAATATAAATATAATCACCGATAACTAATTCAAGTTCATCGCTCGCTTTTGGCGCGTAACCTTGGGTTACTTTGTGCACCTGCCGAATAAAACAAGTAGATTTTCAAGGAGAATTAAAAATAAATTTCGTCTTTTTCCATTGTGTAATAGGACCGCAATTTATATTGGTATTGAAATATTATATTATAGGAACTACATTATACCACTATTATTATAATTTGAGTCTTTTTATATAAATCTGGTCACTCTCAAGTTGGACCAAACTGCACACGGTGTGCAAATTTGATTCGGTTTAGTAGTTTAGGAGTCCATCGCGGACAAACAACGTGACACGTAATTTATATATATTATATAAGATACTATTATCACAATATTAATTAACTATTAATTTGACACACGCTAGGTATATTTATTTCCTAAACAACTATTTACTGGCAGTGTAGGAATATCCATTACCACATATCATCCCGTGGGTGTCGTAAGAGACGACAGAGCTGAATAATATATATATATATATATATATATATATATATATATATATATATATATATATATATAATAGTAGATGGTTAGCAGCATCTTCCCGATTACAGCTGAATAAAAATAAAACACTACGGTTGCCAATCCGCCTGCGAAACGTGACCACTATGGCACACATCTCCATTATGAGGAGAGAGAGTCAGGGCAGATTTAACTAAATCGTCACGCTTGCTAGTAGAATTGAGGATAGCATCAGTCGTCTCACACCTTTGACGCTGTAACCTACACTACACATTGAAATAATTATTATTTGGCATGTACTATAGTCGCCTATAGTACGTGCCAAATCGATTGAGAAAAACGGACAATGACCTCAGATATGAGCCGAGTGTCAAAAGGCGTAACTTACAAAATCTCAATTCAGATGTGATAACAATATTTAAATATTGATATTATTCACACTTCTAGGTCAGCACATATGTTTTGTTTTTTTGTTTCTTAAATAATATTGTCTGTGGTTGCTATAAACATTGTTAAATCTTACGGTACATCGCGAAAAATGTGTTATATTTTATATTTCAATTTATGGTAAGTAACGCAGCAATTCATTTAATAACAGTTTCATATTAAACAAAATATTTGAAGCAATATAATCACCATATTGAGCTTTTGCACATTCATCCCTTTAAAATAAACAAAACGCGCGTTACGTCAGTTCGTTTTAAAAGAAACGTGACAATGCAGCCAGAGATGCGTCATTTTTTTTGGCCGGTCCGCATGCACCGAATAAAAACAAACTTCTTATATAATATTGAAAATAAAGTTTTATCTTTTGAATAAGTACGTACTTATTCGGTGTCGTTATCACTCGAATCTTTATATGTTATAAATTAATGCTTTTTGTTGTTAAATGAATAAAGTATTTTATAACAATAGATCATTTTTCTTCTACAGCGATCTTTTACGTAACTTTTTACATAAACATAAACACTCACGCCTGTCACCCAGAGAGGTAGGTAGAGACTACAGACTTCCATTTAGCACGATCCTGACATACCTCTCTCGCCTCTTCCACATGCATATACCTACGCATACATGCTCGTCGGTTAAGGGTACTCTTAATTTGGCCCATTTTTAGTATATTGCCAATTTGGTCGACCAACTTCCGCCTAGGACGTCCCTTTCCGACTCTTCCATTCACTTCTGCAACATATATTTGCTTTGTCAGTCTTTCCTCATTCATTCTTTCTACATGACCAAACCACCGAAGCATTCCTTTCTTAATCCTGGTCACCGCATCATCTTGCAAACCACACTCTTCACTTTTTAATAATAGTTAATAAATATATATTATATCAATCACTAAAAAAAAATCATTATAAATAAAGAAAGTACTACATATAAAAAGTGCCTATATATTGAAGGTTTGTAGCCCCTGGTTAAACGACCGAAAGGTCATTGTCCGTTTTTCTCAATCGATTTGGCAAGTACTATAGCGTATAGGGGTAGTTGTTGCGGGTCGGTAACTGCAGTTTATTTTTTCTAGTTATCATTAGGAAGCTACTTCTTCCGTCTCCTGATTTGTTTCCCCCTCTCTTCCTCTAACAATACCCACGGAACAATATGGGTTAGTTTCTTACTCTGGCCGCTATACGGTCATTTCATTATGTTAAAATGTGCCTGCAACATAAGTGGTAATAGTTATTTACCTGATGATTCGCGAAGCGAGCGTCTCTAGAATACAACCGAAGCTCCCAGTTGCAACGTTCTGGTAGTTCTATCTTGTCGGCCAGCAACTTGAGCGAGTCAAATGCAGATACGTCAAAGTGGTAGGCAAGTGTCATATGCAATGACTTTGCATGCGTTTCTAAGTTTGTCGCTGAAAAATTAAAAAAATGTGATGATGATACTAAATGTGACATGATACTGAACAATAAAAAAAAGCAAAGAAAAGCCTTATTATTCATTTATTGTATTATTACCTCATCTTAATTCATAATAATATGCAGCATTTTACAGATTCTAAGATAATTATGGCAAGTATTTTATAATAAATATACAGGTGATTTAAAATTTAAGGTTTCAAAAATAATAAATACTGGTTATTAAAATACCAAGTGAATAACAACAATTCGGAATATAGTGATTAATAAACACAGAATAACAGGTTATATACCACCAGGTCAAAGGCCTTGGATAACTTAAATAAACATTTTTTTAAAGGAACTTCAATCAATAAAAAATGTAAGAGAGCATACAAATATTTATTATTAAGGAAAAATACAATCATTGAAATAATACTATTACACTACATATTGAAATAATTATTTCAATGTGTAGTGTTCGCGTAAATATAAGAAATCATTATAAAAATACAATCAGTTATTGTCATATACAGCGTGAGGAAAATTTGCACATGATTGGCTAAGACATTGGCGACACTTTGTTGAACACATCCGACCTGCTTTTCGGCACTCCTATCCACGTTCGCACCCCTTTTTTACATACGTAGCTGATGAGATTGAGCAAATATGAGAATTTAAAGTCCTTTATTAGAACCTCAGCTCAACCAAATCCCGTTTGAGGCCAGATCTATACTAATTTAATAAAGCGGAAGAGTTTTTTTGTTTGATTAAATGCACTAATCTATTGGAACTACCAGACCGATTTGAAAAATTATTTTTGTATATTATAGCCAGATTCATGCCTTAAATATTGGCTTTTGTTAAGCAAGTCAGAAGAAAAAGTGCTTCCGAAATGATTTATCCGCATGCGCTGACGTAATAGTTAATCATACGAAAATATAATGTTCTGCAAAATATAGATCTTTACTTCATCTAAAAAGTCGGCGATACCATATGCCGGCGATACATAAACCACAATAAGGTATTTTGTGAGAAAAAATTATTGAAAATTAGAAAGTGATTTACGACCGTTATTATAGTTATTAGTTATTATAGTAAGAGGCATGGTATATATTAATGGTTAATACTTACGAATGAAAGTTACTTTATCATTAAAACAATTTTACGAAGATAAACTTTGCTCTTTACAGATGTTATTTGGACGCATAGTTATAAATTAAAATAGGTAATTCAACACATGGTTCGGCGCCCGATTGACGCATAAAACGCCGCCCGATCATAACCGAGGGAAAGCAGCATTGAATGTTTCTATGAGCGATGTTAGTTCAATGATTTTAGCTAAAAAATTGGCAAAGTTAATGGAATACTTTTGACAATTTTTCCATACAATGCTACCCGAAAAGCTTGAAATATATGTCATGTCATATCATGCGGCCCAGATGCGTGATATACGGAGGTGAAGCCGCGGGGCTCAGTTAGTTTTATATATATTTAATATATGCAAACCAAATGCTTCTCCAGCTTTTGCGAAGTCTTCATGTTTACCTCGAGGATCGTTGAATACCGAAACCGTTTTACTCAACTCTGTACACTTAAATATTCGTAAGTTTTTACTTTTCCCTTTCTGGAGGAAGCTGATGGTGAGTCACAATGTGACATTGCATGTGCAAAAAGTAATAAAGCTTTCAAAGGTTTTATATTTTCCGCAATATTATAGTTTACTTTACGTACGTAGACGGATATCCGCAATATTATAGTTTACTTTACGCTAATTTACTCGCCCTCTGCAGACTTCCAGGTTTTAGCATTTTCAATATAGAGCATTTCCATTATTGGATCTTGCTATCAATATTTTTTTATAGAAGTGGGGGCAAACGAGCATGCGGCTATATGGTTATAATATCAGCATCCGTAGCGACAACAGTAACGGTCGGCTTATTTGAAGACAAGCTAATCGCTGTTTCACCGATAAGTGTATCTGCATCTATTTCGGCTTCGTGTCATATTTGGTCATATTTGGTTGGCCCGTAGCTTCTGTGGCAATAAATCTATAAGCTGTACTTTGTTTTCTGAACTACAAAGAAATTCATCTTTTTCAGTCAGTTGGTAAGTGAATTTCCACATTTTAGGTCTGAACACGATTTACCTGCAGATCGACGTTTTTCGTTTTCAATTATTATTTCTGTGCTTGTCTCTCATCTGTAATCGTCAAATACTGATGCGCAAGATTTTGTATAGATCGTTTCAATATGAGACGATATACATACAAATTACATACATCTATATAAGTTGCAAGACGTGGTGCCCAATTTACAGCATATATAAGGTATCCGCCGTCAAGAACATAGTATGTGTCTGAAAGTGAGGTTGATGAACAGGGGAAGTAAGATTCAAGTTTTTTTTGCGAGTTCAGCCTTAGTTGTCTTCCACAATGAAACATCATCGAAAAAAACAGAGGTGTGGTGTGGTGAGGACCTATGTAAATGCTTCCTTTAGGGAGTCTCCGCTATTCTTGACACACTATATTTTCCTGGCGCATGCGCTCCATAAATCATGAAGCACATTGGGCGGATGCGCGGTAGAGGATGGGCGGGGGGTGTCTCAAGACGTAAACGTCCGAGGGGCGGGAAGTTTTAGCAAATTATCAGCTTGTTATGACGGATTTTACTTTTAAAACCTTATATCCTCACACTATAATTACCCCTGGGCTATACCATCCACACTCTAAGTTACTGTTCATTCAGAATTTTAGTTGCTCATTTGATATTTAGGTATATCAATCCCCTAGAATTTCAATAAGAATTATGGTATTACTGTTTGCCACTTTTACTTGCTTTAAACTTTTACATACATATACATAAACACTCACGCCTGTCACCCAGAGGGGTAGGCAGAGACTACAGACTTCCATTTGGCACGATCCTGACACACCTCTCTTGCCTCCTTCACATCCATACACCTACGCATACATGCTCGTCGGTTAAGGGTACTCCTAATTTGGCCCGTTTTCAATAAATCGCAAATTTGGTCGATAATATTTTCGCCTAGGACGTCCCTTTCCGACTCTGCCATTCACTTCTGCACCATAAATTTTCTTTGTCACTCTTTCCTCATTCATTCTTTCCACATGACCAAACCACCGAAGCATTCCTTTCTTAATCCTGGTCGCAACATCATCTTGCAAACCACACTCTTCTCTTATTACACAATTTCTTACCCTGTCAATCAGATTCAGCCCTAACATACTCCTTAACGACCGCATTTCTACTGCGTTTATTCTACTCTCGTGCTTCTTCTGCCACACCCAACTTTCACTACCATACGTTAAAGTAGGGACCAACACAGCATTGTGAATTGCCATACGTGCCTTTTTCGACACATTTTGACTCTTCACAATAGAGTGCAAGGCCCCATTTACTCTATTTCCCGGGAAATAGAGGGAAATAGAGTTTAAACTTTTATTTCCTAATAAGCATTGACAGGCAATGCGGTGAATTTTTCGCGAAAAAAATTAAATTCTGTTAAGTCAACATTAAGGAATATCGTTATCAGTTTGTAACAACTTTTTTATTGGCTCATTTAATACATACCGTAGGTTTCGTAAAGGCAACAATGGAAAGATCTAAAAAGACCTAATAGCCATCAATAGATCTAACATATGACGATATAATATCTCACATTATATCATTAATCCATCCGTCCATTTCAGTACTTATATAAAAGTACATTGCTGAACGACCATACGCCTCTCCTATAAAGTACCTCATATATACCTACTTGATCTGAAATACGCTGACCAGACAGGAAGACGCGTCGAAAATGGACAAATCCGATACTGCGGTTACCAAGGCGTTTGCCAAGCGCAACAATTAAGACTAAACTTTCTCATGATTTGACTTGCCATTATTCATGTTGCCCAAGCAATACAAATAGCGCCTTGATTAATCACTTGGAGGTCATTCACCGCTTTATTACGACCGTCATGTAGCGGCACCGCAATCCTAGGAAACCAGAGCTGTAGTGTCAAAAACTTGTACTAAAGGCAACTCACCGCAACTCACTCCGTGTCGCAGTGGCTTGGCAATGAGTGGCTACGCTGGGGGTCGCGAGTTTGAATCCCGCACGGCACAAGTATTTGTATGGCCTACAAATAATTGTTCCGGGTCTAAATATTTGTCCTTATGCAATTTATGTTTGTAAACTGCCCCCACGATACATGAGAAAATCCTAGTGTAGGGGTAACGTTTAAAAAAAAACATCAAAAAAATCGAATCACATTTATATGCTCAGTATTCAAAAATATGCCTATTGTCCTACCCATATTCAACATACCATCAGAAGCATCGCACATAGGTACCTAACTTGCATTGTTTGCGTTTTAGTTGATACTCTTAAGAATGTCTGTCCTATTTGTTTTAATAAAACATTGTATTAAAAATCAAATCGTTATTTTTATATTAAACCAATGGAACATTAGATTTACCATTCACTATGAAAGATGCCTATGCAATGTTTTTTATTTATTTAAAATAAACGTTATATTTTACACGAGTTTTGATCTGATAAAAAATACATTATTTGCTAGTATAAGATACAAAAGATAAAAAACTTACCGTCAATAAGTACTGCATTAAAACAACTTGTACCCCAATGCTACGTGTAAACAATAGCTAATAACAAAGTAAATAAATATATTTGAAAAAATGTAATAAACAATATAAGAAACTGTAATAAAAATATAAGAAACCATATAAAATCATACATATATAGATTTACTGTCTATTAATAAGAAAACAATTTAATACACTATAATATGAATTGTCATATTGTAATCGTAAAACATATCAAACCAAAACATGTTGCAATAATTATAGTTCCTTCTGTCTTAGAATCATATTTTTTAGTGTTTTTGATGGATTGTTTAAAAAATTTCCACATGCTTCCAGTTTTGACAAAAGAAAATATTGGGTTGTTGCATAAATCTTTGCAGTATTCACAGAAATCGTAATAATAAGACAATAGAAGTCGCATAGACGCGTGACCTTGTCGCCGCTTAATGTGTTGACGAACATCATTCATCATTTTGTGATTTAGTTGCGCGAGGAACGTCGTACGTGAATTTATGTTATTACAAATTTATAATGGTGAACTGTAGCATAATCAGTTGTAAAAACTCGTCAAGGACGCGTTATTCAACTAATAAAGGCATAACATTTCATCGGTAAGTTGATTATTTACTAATTATCATTGTTTTAACTGATTTACATATAGTGTAGTGTTATGCTTACATACATACTTACATACATTTTACACTATTATTACTTTTTATTTTTCCATTCTGTTTTTGATTTTCTACATTCACCTCAAAACTGGATATTTTGCATCACCTTTATTTCCATAGGATCCTGTAATATTTTTAATTCATAAGAACACAATAACAAATCATTTTCACTTCGTATTTTCACGTTATCAGCACTTTTTAAATCGGTGTCAATGGAGTCTACCTTTTTCGATCTTTTATTTAGTTCTCCGTAACTCTACAATTTCGGGTTTCGTGCGCGCTCTTGCGCTACCTTTTTTCCTATATAAATAATATCTCATTTTTCACTTAAATCTTGCCGTTTCTGTATTACGAGCTTAAAACCAAAATTTGACATGTTTTGACATCGTTGTTTATCTGGTTGTCGTGGCAATTTTTATTCAAATATTGTTACCGGCCTGATGTTTTTACTTCAAAAATACTCTTTTCTTCTTGGCCATTTACAAAAATTTGCTTTTAATTTAAATAATTTCAAATAATTTCTCGTTCTTATCCCAGATCCGTCAAAAAGTATAAAAGCCGAAGAATCGGCCGATAGAGGTCCTCACTTCAGCTTTGATACGAGAAGCACCTCTTAAAGGCTTTATCCGCACTGCCTCGGGATCTTGCAAGCCTTCTCCTGAAGTCGTCGCCTAGCCACGCCTACGCCTCCACCTATTAGTGCCCGCGCTATCTTCGGCCGCTGAGCGTGCTTGTCTCAAGCGCTGCGTGTTCCTACTCCAGACGCTGCGTGTCTACTCCGGACGCTGTGTGTGTCTACTCCGGACGTTGTGTTTGCCTACTACAAGCGCCTCGTGTACCTACTCCAGACGCTGCGTGTCTACTCCGGGTGCTGCGTGTGTCTGCTCCGGGCGTTGCGTGTGCCTACTCCAAGCGCTGCGTGTACCTTCTCCAGACGCTGCATGTGCTTTCTCCAGATTCTGCGTGTACCTAGAGCAGGCGCTGTGCACCTATCATAGGCATAGCCTGTGCATACTTCGTTGCAGTATCTTTATTTTTGTTATTTTTTTTAATAATATTGTAAATCACTATCATCATTACAGCCCATCATCACCTTCATACCTTTTTTTTATAAAAGAAACTGTAAATCTTTTCAAATTTTTAAATAATTTATTTTATTTTTGGTTGTTTTGATGTAGTTAGGTTAGGTTATTTAGTTTTTAATTGTCGCTTTACGACAATTTGGCGCCCGACGTAAAAGTTCTTCTTTTTCTTCACCTTAGCTACGCCTTATCCATTTCCTTTTGATTGAATTGCTTTCTCTTTCATTCTTAACTCTTTATTTACTCATCCTTATCATATCTTCCAAATTCTAAAACAAAACTTCATCTAGTTTTTCAACTTATCTGGATTATATTTGGACCTGCATATAACACAACACTTACATTCATCACCTTAATATTTTTATTCTAGAGAACTTAAAGAGGTACTATCTTCCAAATTCTAAAACAAAACTTCATCTAGTTTTTCAACTTATCTGGATTATATTTAGACCTACATATAACACTTACATTCATCATTTTAATATTTTTATTCTAGATAACTTAAAGAGCTACAATTTTTAATTAAATTTTTATTTCTTATTCTTTATTTTATTTTATTACTTATTCTATTTGCACTTAACTAAAACAATGAAAAGGATTATTGAGTACGAATTCCTTAAAATACGAAGTGAAGATTAGATGTGAGAAACCAGCTAATACTGTTTTGCATGACACTACATTTGTATATATGTTTGTATATTTGTATATATGTTTGTATATATGTATAATTATTACCTGATTAATTTCTTTATCTTTATCTTCACTCAGGAGCGGATGACAACTCCTTAAATAAGCCTAAATGTACTTTTAGTGATGTTGCTCATCTCTGGCTTTGAGCCCTACCGCTCTGGCCGTTCTTAACCTTTACTTAAGTCATAGCGACTAAAGCTTGCTTAAGATTAATTTCTTTAACTTTATCTTCACTCAGGAGCGGATGACAACTCCTTAAATAAGCCTGGATGTCCTTTCAAAATGTTTTTTTTTCCACGCAGGAGCGGATGACAACTCCTTAAATAAGCCTGAATGTCCTTTCGAAAACACACTTTTAGAGTGGTAGTCATTGAATGTGAACTCCACCCTTACCTGAATGCAGATGATGAATGTAAGAGATAGTATATCTGATATTGCCTGGTGATGTCTGTTACTGCAAAGCTGTGTTTTTATGGTTTATTTTGGAATGTACATCTCAAAATTTTTGCTGAGTCAAAAATTTTAGAGGGTCGGGGGGGAAAATGTAGTGTTATGCTTACATACATACTTACATATCATTTTACACTATTTTATTTTTATTTTTCCATTCTGTTTTTGATTTTCTACATTCACCTCAAAACTGGATATTTTGCATCACCTTTATTTCCATAGGATCCTGTAATATTTTTAATTCATAAGAACACAATAACAAATCATTTTCACTTCGTATTTTCACGTTATCAGCACTTTTTAAATCGGTGTCAATGGAGTCTACCTTTTTCGATCTTTTATTTAGTTCTCCGTAACTCTACAATTTCGGGTTTCGTGCGCGCTCTTGCGCTACCTTTTTTCCTATATAAATAATATCTCATTTTTCACTTAAATCTTGCCGTTTCTGTATTACGAGCTTAAAACCAAAATTTGACATGTTTTGACATCGTTGTTTATCTGGTTGTCGTGGCAATTTTTATTCAAATATTGTTACCGGCCTGATGTTTTTACTTCAAAAAATACTCTTTTCTTCTTGGCCATTTACAAAAATTTGCTTTTAATTTAAATAATTTCAAATAATTTCTCGTTCTTATCCCAGATCCGTCAAAAAGTATAAAAGCCGAAGAATCGGCCGATAGAGGTCCTCACTTCAGCTTTGATACGAGAAGCACCTCTTAAAGGCTTTATCCGCACTGCCTCGGGATCTTGCAAGCCTTCTCCTGAAGTCGTCGCCTAGCCACGCCTACGCCTCCACCTATTAGTGCCCGCGCTATCTTCGGCCGCTGAGCGTGCTTGTCTCAAGCGCTGCGTGTTCCTACTCCAGACGCTGCGTGTCTACTCGGGACGCTGTGTGTGTCTCGTCCGGACGTTGTGTGTGCCTACAACAAGCGCCACGTGTCCCTACTCCAGACGCTGCGTGTCTACTCCGGGTGCTGCGTGTGTCTGCTCCGGGCGTTGCGTGTGCCTACTCCAAGCGCTGCGTGTACCTTCTCCAGACGCTGCATGTGCTTTCTCCAGATTCTGCGTGTACCTAGAGCAGGCGCTGTGCACCTATCATAGGCATAGCCTGTGCATACTTCGTTGCAGTATCTTTATTTTTGTTATTTTTTTTTAATAATATTGTAAATCACTATCATCATTACAGCCCATCATCACCTTCATACCTTTTTTTTATAAAAGAAACTGTAAATCTTTTCAAATTTTTAAATAATTTATTTTATTTTTGGTTGTTTTGATGTAGTTAGGTTAGGTTATTTAGTTTTTAATTGTCGCTTTACGACAATAGATGAATACTTTACTATGATATTTACCTTTGTAAACTCATTTATTACTTTTCGTATTGTACAATTACCATTGCTGCTTTTGTTCTACTGTAATACGCGACACACGCGACGTTAACAACTCGCCAACCAATGTAGTGTGAAATATTACATATTAATATATCATTGTGCATTGCGTATGTTCATAATACGGTATGATGTGGCGACATCGGTTTTGGAATTAATCGAGCGCTAATTAATTTCTAATGTCTTATTATTACTATTTCTGTGGCAGTATTGCATAATATGATGTTATTCCTTATTTCGGTGGCTTAAAATTATAACTTTGTACATAAATTGGTTAAATACGTTTATGAGGCAATAATATCGTGTTCAACGATAAAATGACAAAACTAGAATTGTACCATATGATTGTTATTAATAAGTCTCCAAAAAAATACTTTGTAGACGAACCATTGAGAGAGAACGGCCATGGGGTTTTACATCTGCCACTCTACCATTGTGACCTTAATCCAAACGAAAATATTATGGAATTAAGTGAAGAATATAGAAATAGAAAATCTGACAAGGGAGGCTATAAAGTCCATCACAATTTCTGACTGGAAAAAAGAGATTAACCATGTAGAAAGATTGGAAAAAAGGAAAAAAGTAAAAAAGAGAATTAATAACTTCACTTGGAGGTGAAGAAACCAGCTCTGAAGACGAATCAGACGCCATGTCGGGAATTGAAGTTATTAATTGTAATAGTAGTGTCACTACTATTCTTTAAGCCCACAATTCACAGCTGTAATATTTAAGACATCATAGTCCATCACTATGATGTCACAGCGTGAAGTCGCATGGGTAATAATCATGTTTAGGTTGCTGCTTAAAGACAGTCTAGTTGTACACAACACAGTAACAGCGTTTAGGTAGAAATATTATGGACAAGCATCCACAAAGTAACCATGTTTATTAGCTTTGGGACAATACTCAAGCACATGTTGCAAAAGTACTCTTAACAAGAATAGAATAGAATAACTTTTGTTCAATATTAGCGATCCGACCGGCTTTGCATGGGTGATTTCTTGACGACAACAGTGCGACCTACCGGGTCCAATTGTGAATTTAAACTATCTAGGGACCCAACACAAAAAAATTTGATCAAATCAGTCGAACCATTTTCGAGTTTTAGCGAGACTAACGATCAGTAATTAATTTTTATATATAGGGATAGATTACATGTATTTCTTATCGATAGTCATTTTTATATATAGGGATAGATTACATGTATTTCTTATCGATAGTCATTTTTATATATAGGGATAGATTTAATGTATTTCTTATTGATAGTTTTTTTTTTTTGAAAAAACCTCTGTCTCTGAAACTTCGCGGGCACTTTCGTTTTAAATAAAACAAATTAAAAATATATTATTTTATACAATTAGTATGAAAATATATATGAAATTGTTTAGGAACTCTTATACTCTACAGCATTTATTATATATAGTTATATACCATGTAATATTGGTAAGTATATATTATACAACTTTTGCTTGATAAAAATTTTAAATATTTTGATAGGTAAGGCCTGCATAATTATTAACTCTTTGGAATTGAGTAACTAGTATAACTAACTTGTGCTTGTTCCCAGTATTTACAGAATGTACATCACTGTTTTTATAAAACTATTTTTTTGGACCTAGGTTAGAAATTGCTCCAATCCCTTTTGCAAAACAAAGATAGTTTCAATGTCAGTTGCATTACCCCATAGCCAGATTCCACATCGCATTATGCTATGGAATTAACTAAAATAAACAAATCTAGCTGTTTCAACACATATAAAACCTCTATTCTTTTTAACAGCACATGCATGCAACAGAACTGATACCTGAACAGGGCCCCATTGATACTTCGCGTAAACCGTAATTACAAGAAAAACAGTGGATTCAACAAGGCTCAGCTCTTCCCCTTTTCAAAGAACACCTGATATTCACCTGTTTAATATTAGATGTGGTAAATTTAAAACATTTTGTTTTATTTTTAAAGTAAATTATTGATGTTAAACCAAGGTACTACTTTTAATATAGCATTATTCACTTTGTCATATTTTAATAATTTGCCTTTTAATTCGGAAAATCAATGAAGAATTATCAGCAAATAAAACTATATCATGGTTATCTTCTACCAAGAAAGGTAAGTCATTAATATAAACTAAGAACATGAAGGGACCAAGAGTTGCCCTTCGGAACACCCATAGACCTAGAAAAACTACCCCCATTAAACACAATTGTTTGTGTTCCACTATTTAAATATGATGTAATAACTTTGAGTGCTATGTTTTTTACACCATGATGATGTTGCTTTAGTTGAAGTTGTAGTTAGTAGTAGCTATAGTTATTAGAAACAGAATTACCACAACCCTTACTATCAGTTTTCAGTGCCCACAAATTTTCATCTTTTCCAGAGACTGTATATACATAGTAACATTGTCGCACCCTATTTTCAATCCTTTAGGGCTACATCTACATTAGTGTATGTATACCTTAACGTCTGAAATGCAAATTTCAGTTTATGGGTTTTCATATGATTGTAACCTGCGACCTTTCGAGGGAACTACCTTATGTGTTTTTTCTTACTGTACCAAACTTATGTCTGTCTGTCGCCACTGAAGCTATAAAGCTTTGGAATAAATTACCTTCACATATAAGGAAAATAATTTTAATGTTACTTTTAGAGTGTCTGATCATTACTTTTCCTATCACTGGTTAAATTTCTTACATATTTCTGCTCATAGCTTGATTGATCAGTAGACAATGCATAATGGCGTAAGTTCGCCAGAATAAAGATTTTTAAATAAAATATAACTGAATATGTTTTGTCTATTTATTTCATTGCATTTACTATTAATTATATAAGTCGTCGGCAGAGACAGAGACAGAGACTCAATTTCAAAAAATAACAGGACAGTTTTAATTTTTTTCCTGTCTAAAAAAAATACGATATGAAAAAAGTTCTCATTACAACATGTTACTGACTGGTTATAAACATGCAGTTGTGCTAAAAAAGTATGTTCCAAATTAAAATTTTTGTTTGTGGAGTGAGCTCCTGTAAGTTAATACAGGCTCTAAAAAATCTTTTAAAAAGTTTATTCTTATTGAATAATCTCATTTTCTTGAGATTTTAAAGTATTTCTATTGCTGTTTAGCAGTTTCCAAAATGGTAAATAAAGAGATAAATGCCAGCAAAATTATCGCACTTCTTGAATCTGACATCTCAAAATGTGAGCCATTCGACAGTCCAAAATACTTGGCAATGCTATCAAGAGACCACTTCCATCCAAAGAAGGCCTGGTTCTGGAAGAAAGCCATGTTCCGAAAAATGAGATGATCATTTTCTGGTGAGTGAAGTGTTGAGAAATCGCAAATTTCCTTCCTAAGTGGACCTCAAGATCAACCTCGAAGAAGTAAGAAATGTGCAAATTAGTCTATGGATGGCCAATATACATAGTGATCACCCAGTCCGAGGCCCTCAATTACTTTGAAAGCACCAATTGTTAGGTATAGCTTAATTCGAAATTGTATGTCATGGACTCAAGAAGACTGGGATACTGTTCTCCGATAAAACCAGGATATTTCTGTACGGTGAAGAACAACATCGGCGAGTGCCATAAAGACAAGGAGAATGTTTTGCAGAGGCATGTTTTGAAGAAATCACACCTTATGGCGAACTCTCTTAAGTTTTGGGCAAGAATAAATTTTTGGATTATATGCGGTTAGTCTTCTTACAGACACATTAGCATCCTAAGATGCAAGCCTCAGTTGTACCCAACCATACAACTGCATATACCTAGAGCAATTTGGCCTTGTGACAGAAGTTACTCTGGTAAAAGTTCCATATTAGTTTTTGGTTCTATAACATTGATTTAATACAAAAAAAAAACACTAAATCTGATCCCAGTAGGGAGCACTATCATATAGTAATTAATAAATTTTATCCTCACACTGCAAAGTCTGGAGGGAAATTAATCATGCCAACAACTGGAAAGGTCAGAACAATGTCTTCCTGGCCACCTAGTATTACTTAAAATATATTTAAATATTCAAAAATATTTACTTACAATTTTTTGATACTTGTCGCAAATACTGTTTAGAAATTTCTTTAAAATAATTAGCATATTCATCAGAAATGAATAGGCCAATGAAATTAGGTGAAATATAAGTTTCTAGTTTTATTGGACAGGCTGGTGGATGTCCCACTTTTTCAACAACCTGTTTCACAGCTTTTGCTAATTGTATCGATTCTTCATCTGCTGCCTGTAAAATAATACCTTAAATGTTAGTTGAAATAATATAACAGAAATAAATAATATTAAATTTGAATGGGATTCAAAAATACATCAATAATAATCTTTCACTTTTTAGTTGTAATAAAAATTTAAAACTTGAAAAAAATAAAAACTAAACATACTTTAAAAAAAGGAACTAATGTGATATGTGGATGAAAATTGTGTGCACCATTCCATCCAGAAATAGCTTTTGACTTCTCTCTGAATTCGTAAATATGAACAAGCAATTTTCCAGTAGGATTGATGTACAAAACATATTCACGGGGCTCTTCTACATCAAGCGAAGTATCATTAACATGTGTGAGCAACCAATCTGATGCTAGCTGAACACTGCGATTTCCCGTAGCTGCTAGAGCTTTTAACCTGAAAATAAATAGATACATGAGTGAAAAAAAAATTAAGTATAAAGCACAATTATCAAAGCAATAATTACGCCCGATTTCTTGGAAATCCCATCTGCAAAAGTATTTGTAATGGTGAAATTTCTTGCTTTGAAGCAGTTGAACACGTTGAAAACTTTCGTGGCGGGAGATTAGCCATTCTCGGAAACTTTAAAACCGTAAGAAAAACGCACTGCATACAAAAGAAAAAATCCTATTATATAACGTGAAAATTACAACCACAACACGACACAAGGTCGTTTTCGGACTCACGATCTTATAGAATGAATTATAGTTTTCTGACATTTATTACCTAGATTTTATATTATATTCGGTGAAAAACAAATCAAAACATAAACACAGTTTGACACTTTCCATTATTTTGTATTTTCCTTTTATTTTATTTATTAAGATTTTTGTCTTGGATGTTTGTTCTTTAAGCCATGTCGTCATTTCATTCGGGACCTCCAATTTCACGGATTTTTTGTTTAACCCATAAAGGAGAAAAATTAACAGTAGTACTAACAGAAGTTGCACTCCTTTGATTTCGACTGCTCACCGACGGTTAATAACCTACATAATTATTATTAATCAGATAAATCGTGCACGCAAGTTACATAAAACTTTATCGCTGCGCGCTAGTATACATATTACTTTGCATCTTTTCTACTTCCTAAGCCACAGCGGACATTCCATGGTAAGTAAAGGATGTCAATAGAAAGTAAAAAATACATTGCGAAATGTTAGTCAAGTTACTTAGGTGGAGTACCTATTCTAAATATGATCGAATGACCATATTTTCGCCCCTATGTAAGTTCTGCGATGCCTAATGCATGGTGTCGACTCGCGTCGCAAGGTCGAAGCTACAGGAGTCGTGCGTAACTCGCGAATACGAATTTAGGCAAACGAGACTAACGACAAGCAAAGTTGAGCAAATTATGTTCCTAAATATAAATACACCTGAGGAGAGGTTTAAAGGATTTTAAACTCATTCATAAAATAATTTACACGATTCTTAATAATAATTTATACAAACATTGATAAGTAAAAAAAGGAAATAAAAATATTCATTAAAACACCTATCCATAAAAATATGTAAATAAAAAATGTTAATAATTATATATGTACATAAAATCACTTGATAATAGTAAAATCTTTTCAAAGCGTATTCAGCCAATCCTGAGCCTAGAAAGTTATTAAGGGAAGTTCAAATTGATTGATTGTACAATTCGTTAGTAAGTATTTCTACACCAGTCAGAGTGCTTTGTGCTCAAATTAAATTTCTTTGAATTTTTAACTAACTTTGCAGTTCATTCAACTGTCGCGAATAGTGGGCAAAACTAGTTAAGACACTGTCGTCGTTGCGTTGCGCCCGTAGACACCACGTTTTAGTCGAATAAACCTCTGCCGTTGTCGCATTAACTAGTCGACGAATTCAACTAGTTGATCACCTATAATTTATCATAGTCGATGGACGGCAATAGACGGTCTAGCTTCGTTGACGAAAATTACGTCGACGACCTTCCTTCATTATTCAGTTTTAATTTCAGTATTTTGTATTATTATAATTTAAAATATTTTAATTACAAAAGACAAGTATAGGTATGTAAGTAGATACTTGGATAGTGAAGTAAATTTTAATTCATTTTTGTAATAAGGTACTTAGGTGTTTCTTCTGTAGATCAAATTATTACTTAATTAACATAATTCTTTTTAACTGCAAGTACCTATCCAACAAAAAAAGTTTAAATAAATTCACCTTGCTTTCTTTTTATAACTTTCTTCTCAAATTTTTCGGTAATTTAAAGAATAGTACGAAACCTTTTGTTGGTCACTTAGTATCCATCCACGTAACAGTTATAATAGGAACGACGTTTTGACATTATAATTTATCAAATAGGTAATATACATAATGTATAATTTTTATTGTGGCACCACTGTAGCTAGAGGGGAGGGTAAATTTTAAATAACTTTTTACTGCACAGACTTTCACCATAATTCTTTTTATAATAACTATTTTATTGTTCTCAAAATCACTCTCATCGTGTTTCACGGCGACTTTTTCTCGGTTACATTTACTAAATTATTTAAGACAAAATAAGTAGTTAAAGTTTTAAATACTGCAGTTTCATCAACTACTCTACCATCACCACAAATATAACATTTTTCAATTCAGCAAACTTAACTCCGTCGACAACTGCTAAGTTCACTTCATGCCCTTTGACTACTCGAGCGCAGGTGTGAAGTGTTTTCGAACTGTTATATACTTCTTACACATGTACACATTTTCTATTAATATTTACATATATTCTATTACTGTTCTCCTTTGAGACTTTGTCTTCCTTACCTCTGTACTCCATGCTCCATATATTCGGTAGTACGGAGAACGATCACTATAGAAAAAAGTGTCCCAGAAATTATGAACAACTTAGCGATCGCATTGCTTCACTTAATTTGTTCATAATTAAGTGAAGCGATGCGATCGCTAAGTTGTATCAATAAAAGTCATTTTCAGTCTATTTTTCCGATCAGATGCTAAACCACCTTCACATCCACGCACAATACAATATTTCACCATTTTTAATGTTTCTTTTTGTAAAAATTAAAAAATTACGGAGCACGATTATTTTCTCATCAATGTCGCGAAAAAATTTGTACATTATTCAACTAACTTCATCTACTTGTACTCATAAACAGCTAGCTTCGCAGATACTACTTACCGACGGCACTTCAGGGACAGGCGGGCTATGCTTTAGTACGTAGCGATCGTCCTCCTTTTCTCTAACCATAGTCTCTAACCTCCATGGTTTGATCGATAGGTAGAGGTACATATATATATATATATATATATATATATATATATATATATAAAGGGTATTTACTGTTTTATCGAGTGAAATACGTAAGTTTATAGAGATTGGCAACAAATTTATAAAAGTACCTAGTGGTGTCTCATATATTATGTCACTTGCAAAAATTTATAAAACATTATGCTTTAATTTGACTGTCAAACATCTTTGACACTTTTCTATGCTCAAAGTAGAAGTAAGGAGTACAGACTGTATATTAAAAAGTGTCCATAAAAACCTTTAAATAAGGGTAGCGCCACTATAGCTACGGGGTAAATTTTAAAGAACGCACCGAAAAATATTAGTGGGATGGACGTCTTTTTCGAGGTTATATTTACTAAATAAAATTATTTTCGATTTTAGAGCTACTGAGCAGTTTAGCAGCACACTTAAACCGTCGACAATTGCTAAGTTCATTTCATCCCAGTAGCTACTCCAGCGCTGTTGTGGAGAGTTTTTAGCTGTTATTTACTGCTTACAGGTGACTACTTTTTCAACTATTCTAGTATGGGAGTTGTTACTCCTTACTTTTACACTCCATAGCTCAAAGTTTGACACCCGTATTGAGTGAGCTTAGTGTTGTGACACCTTGGTGATTTTGTCACTATAGTCAACCAAATCTAAGAAATACCTTTTGACGTTTCACATTAATCATTACGCAATACATTTGCACCAGCGTACTCACACACTTTAAAATAACCTTTTACGTAAATCCTAAGAATTATGAAGTTATCTATATTTCATTATAACGTGTATAGTTTTTTATCACTAATTTAAATTTGAATTTTTCAAACAAAGCAAAATTTTAAATAATAACCAGTATTAACTTTTTTTTACTTGATGTCGTTTCAATGATATGATCAAGTACGTTCTCATTTTTTGATTGACATGCTTGCTGCAAAGTGTGACAGCTGTCAAAATGTATTTCTTCGATTTGGTAGACTATAGATCCGGTGAATTTAAAGAGCTTCTAGCGATATTTTTTTAGTTTTTAGCGGTTTTTGGCGATTTTTCAACTAGGAATTTGACAGCACTGATTTGAGATGGAAATCGTTCTCCTTATAACCTTAGTTTATAGTCGGAGAATGCCAAACGATGTTGTTTTATAGTTATTGACACTAATGTTTTATCATTCTTAAAAGTGTCGTCGTAGACGATTAAAGTAGGCAGGAAATTGTACATGTTCAGTGAAAGAACAGTAAAGAATTGGTGGTTAATATAGTGCATAACGTCATATTATAGCGCGCTATCTCTCCATAGCGCATAGCGCGTGCTATATAAGTAGTCGCCATGGCGCTATAGCGCTATGACGCTTTGACGCTATTCATATCAAGCGGCAATTAGTTCTATCAGGAGCGCTGTTGGGAGTAGACGTGTTACGCAATTTTTATCTAGCATCACGCTATTCATCGCGTGTGTGTAATTTAGTGTTAGACGTTATTTATAGACATGGCGTAAATGGTTAAATTTATTTATTTGTTAAAAGTTATTTGTTAATTTTTTAACAGATAAAATTAACAGTTAAAAATATTACTTACTTTTGTAGTGAATTTTCATTTTTAATCGGTTGCGTTTATTTTATTGCTATTTTACGAATTAAATTTTAATTAAATAAACATTTCTTCATACTTTAATAGGTCTATTTATTATTAAAAGTCCAATCAAGCTAGGCATGTTTAAAGGTTTAATAATTCAACACCTATATTATATTATGATTTATAATAATTGTATATTATTTAAAATGATTATTAGGTATTTAGTATATACTAAATGTAAAAGATGGTCCCACAGCTGTGTGTGACGTCTCGGCATGATAAAAGGTCCAATCAAAATCCTATATTTTGTACACTACACTAAATAATGTAAGTAAGAACTAATTTCTCTAAATCTGAATTAACTTTCCTAGTATTTATTTTTACAGCTTTTTATACAACCTTGTAATATTTTGATGAAAAATAAACCACAGAATACTATTACTCCTACCGGAGAAAAATCTCTATATAAAATGATAATAAACTGACGCGCTTCGTTTAAACAGTTCAAATTAACACCAACCAATATTTCAGCCAATAGCGAAAAATACAAATAACAACCACTAACGTATTCAGCCAATAGGTACCCTATACGAATACAGTTTGAACGGTTTAATAATAATATACACCAAGTAACTTTGAAAAATGATAATTTTCAACCACAATGAGATATAAGTTTAATTTTATAGCAAGTA